CCGGGTGAGCACCTCTGGCAGGTAGGCCGCCCCCTCCCCGGCGGGCGGAGGGCCCTGCTCCCTCCTCGGTTAGCCCCGCAGCGCGGTTTGTAGCTCGTCTTGTGACGAGGCGAGGACGCCGCGGCGTTGCGTTCGGGTAGGGAGATCCTCAGCCTGACCGCAATTACACGTTTGGAAGCAAAACCCAAAGGCCGTGCTAGAGAAGATAACGAAGTCGAGCCCTGCGGCGTTTCGGGTAGCGTAGCGGCTGAACGTGCAAGCGCTGGGCGCTTGGAACCAGCGGTCCGTGCCCCCGTGCATACGCGCAGTGGTTCACCAAGAAACCTGCCTGTGCTGAACGCTTGTGCTATCCAGGCACGCCTTAGGCTAATCTTTCTTTTATAAACCATCTCACCTTAGCTTAATCGCGTGGATCTCCGCTGTCACTACGCTTAACGTCCGTTATTGGGTTGTTCCAGTGCGATAATATCACGTAACTGCTAAATAGACACGCTTGACTTCTGGGAGAGGGCTGTTTCCTCCCTCGGTGAAAACAACGGTTCCATGTGAGACGGGAGCGCGTTGCCTTTATTCTAAGTAGTGCTGCTCTTGGCGAGTTTGAGTTACGTGCCTGATGTTGGCTGTGTTTCAAACCCAGCGAAATTAATGGAAGTCCAAGGCCCCTGGAGTCTTGCAGAGCGATATCTTGTATTTCATGCGTTGATATAGCACGTTACACATCACAGAGGATAAAAATAGCTTCTTCATGCTTGGAGTCAGGCTCTTATATTCTGAACAAGTAGCCTATCTGTTACTTTCTAATAGAAAAGACTATATCTGTTCAGCTTATTTTCAGAAGATGGTTGTTAGGTGTTTTAGTGAGACTGTTGGATGGTATAATCCATAAAGCAATCCCCAGTAAATAAACGTGGTGTAATGGCAGCAGAATAAGTAACATAATTCTTTTTGAAATAAATACATTTATGAGTTTTCCTGACAAGTAGCGTGCTTCATTTTTGAGTTTAAGCATCAGCAGGTCACTGGAATTTTCCTATTAGCAGGAATATTCAGGAGTTAGTAGGCTTCGGCCTCTTATTTAACATAAATTATGGAAATGCTGACTTGGAAAGACAGAGTTGACTTAGAGCATGGTCAGTTTGCAAGGTCTCGGACAGTCAAATAGGACTGATTTTTCAGGAAAGGTTTTTCAATAGCAAGAGAACTCCTGCACCTGCTGTTTATGCCTTTTCAAGGAAGGGGCTGCTTTTGTGCCTGCTGTCTTACATAAAGGGTCTATTTCTGGCCTGTTTAAAATTTGGAAGCAGAACTGAGAAGGGAGGTGGTATTTGTTGGTGACACGTTATATTTGATATCGACGCGGAGGCTTCTGGGTTGGCGTGAGTAAGGATTTTTTCTGTGAAGCAGTTATTTAAGCAACCCTCACTATACAAAGCCTAAATTATTATTAAATTTCATTATATAAAAAAATATTACTCCAGCACGTCATAGATTAAGCTGTTATGTTTACTCACAAAGACTAGATGATGGTGATTAGTTGAGAGTTGCCTTCCTCTTCTAAGGGTTGTTTTACTACCACGAGACACCCGTGACTTATTTTTATGAAATCTAAACCTCTTATTTTCAAATTGATGTGAAATACCCGAACTTGTTCCAGTTTCTGTCCTTTTGTATTTCTATACCTCATGGGTTTTGCAGGTTGCACAGCTTGACCTATGCAGCAGAACGGTAATGGAGGAGCTGCCAAATTCTTCCATGCTTTGTTGTTCCCAGTTAGTTCTTATTTGTTCGCTTAAAATACATTCCGTATCTCTGCTGCCGCTAACTTATAGTTGCGCATAAAGAGGTAGATGAACAAAACTAATGTCTCAGCATATGGGGCGTGGGCTCTTTTGCGCGTTTGAGTCTGAGCTTTTGACCCGGCCGTGCACTTCAGGCAAGAGATGGCAAGGCGAGCCTGGTGAGACAAACCTCCGAAATCCAGTACTGTTGTGCTACTGCATGTTTTCAAGCAGAGCTTCCTGGTTCATAACAGCTATTTTTCCGTTGAAGCTTTTTGCATAGACTAAATTAAAAAATTTCTCAGAACTGTGAAAGCACAGCTACAAAGCTGTTGAGTGTTTCTCTCTCCCTTTTTGTGGGAGGGAAAAAAACAGATTCTATGGTTTGTTCTGTTTCAGCCACGTTTTCCACAGATTAATTACGCTAGAGAAAGGGAAAGTGAATGAGCATAAATAGGTCAGTCTTGAGGTCGGTAGGGAATAGTGTGTCCTCTTCCTTTCCTCGTCTGTTAAAGCTGGCATCGTTGTCTGCAGGCGGGTGAAGGGGGTATAGCAATCCATGACAGGTTGACCCCTTCTCTTTCCCACCCGTTACTGAAGATGGAGAAGTCTGCGTTTTGAGAAGTAAAGTTAAAATGGTCCGTGAAGCTGGGTAGCATAATGTTTTCTTTGAACTTAATGATTCATGTCACTGAATAAAAGTTTCTATCATCTGGAAATGTGAAAGAAATGAATTTAGTCATTTAATAGGCGGGTGTCCACATTGCTTAGTTTTACCACAGTAAAAACCAGGGGCTGAACTAGCCCTGGAGGCAGAGCTCTGTTTCTGTTTCTCTCCAGGTTTCTGTTCAAGTGGGCTGTGGTGTGAAACTTTACTGCTGCTGCCTTTAACGTATCATTTCTGTGTGTAAATAGCCGTTCTCCTTGGCTAGGAAGCCTGCCTGAGGAACCTGTATTGGCATGTATTTCGCTTTACAATTTTTACTCTGATTTGAGTTGGCATTAAATTTTCACTCACTCTGAGCTGTGTGTTGATTTGTGTGGGGGGAAAATAGCAAGATGATAGAGGTTTTGGAAGGTGAAAGTCTCTACCGGTGAGGCAGGTTACAGTGAATGATACGTTTTTCTTTGCTGTGGGTTACCTGCCCAAACTCCTTACTCCCCTGCTTGTTGGAGACGGCGTGTTGTGCGTTTTTTATTATTATGCAACTGGTTGTTTTGATCCTCTCTCTTGCAGAATTGCATAAACTTCAGTTGACAATGTGCCTTGATAGGGAATGAATGCCTGTATTGCAGCCCTGGCAAACGCTGTCTGGCATTAACGAAGCAAACTGTCCAAACTTTATGGGCAGCTGGGTTTGGAATAACCTAAAGATTGCTTACTACTGGGAGAGCAGTTGTTTAAAGATGCTGACCTGTTGACGGTATAAATGAAAAATACTTGCAGTATCCAAATTATTTCCTTAAACTTACTACGTGGAGGATGATCCTGGTGCCCTGATCTACCTGCTGCTGGAGGGGTCCGCGCTGAGGATGCGAGAGATGGCGCACGTGGCAGAGGCTTCTGTCCTATTCTGGGGATATCATTTTATTCTCCAGAGGAAGATTTGGAAAGAGCATGTGATTTTTAATGAGCTTGGCTTGCATACGTTAGTAGATATATCATATTGTGAGTGTTGTATGGCAGCTGCTATTGCGTTGTATACAATTGACATATCTTCTGTTCTGTTCTCTTACCGCAGCGAATCTGAAATCCTGCACCATGACAAACAATACGAGCCCTTTTACTCCTCCTTTGTTGCACTCTCTACACATTACATCACTACTGTGTGTGGTCTAAGTAAGTGTTCACCATGCTTTGCTTTCTTTTGCTCTTGTCTAATGACTAGGATATAGTAAAAGTAGGCTAGGATTGTTGTGCTTTTGGTATTTGTCCAAAATCCTGTTTCTGAATCGGATGTTAACGCCAACTGCACCAGGCCAGCGTTGCTAGCTTTTGTTCTGGCAGAATGTGAATTCGGATGGAAAGGGAAATTTGTTGATGTGAGCGTTTGGCCTCAAACAGTGGATGGTGTTGACTTTTTGGTGTTTCATTTGTTGGCCTGGCTTCACTTTGGGGAAATCGTTTTTGGTCAAATGAAGTGTTTGCGTGCATTTTCAGTGTTTTAAAATTATTCTTTAGCACACCAAAGTAATGCCACCGTGTTGGACGTAATGATCAAAACCTTTTGACTCAAAACATTTTAGACTATTTCAGCTGAAAGGACTTGATAATTTATGTGAAAAAATGAAATTTTGGTCAGCCTGTTTCATGTTCTTCAGTGCTTTTCCTGTCAGTTTGGTATTAAATAATAAATGATGCTAGAGAAGCCATTGTATCTAGTTGTTTTAGCCTCTACATCTGAGTGGTAGATATTATC